ATTGTGTGATACATGATTTATGTTGTGTATGTTTGTTGTGCGTAAAGGCTTGTTGCATTTATCTGGCAATCTATCATTTTATTTTAGCACGTTTCGTATATGTTCCTTTGTTGACATCTTCACTGTCTTTTGAACAGGCAGGTCGGACACCCGGGCGTAAAATAACGTAATACGCTTCTACGTGTCGGGTTTCGAGACGGGCCGGTCGGCAATGTAACAGGTTGCGGCATTAGAATTTTAAGAAAGCATATACAGGATTTTGCGACACGCACTGAGGAGCCACATGAAAACTCCCCCCCCCCACGCCTGCATAAGATATGAAAATACTTTTCAAAGTGCGTTATGTTTAGCGTGTGTGAGTGCGTGCGGGTGAGAAGGCAGTTCACTTGCCCATATTTAGTGAAACCCATTTGTCAGCAGTACAGGACAGGCTATGTCCGTGAATTCAGAAGATGACCGAGGCCGCTCAGCGAATTGTCCGGGTCATCGTCATCGTCGCGTTTTGAAGTAGGGCATTATGTTTTTGGTGTGTGTGTTATATTATTTATTATTATTATATAATTGCGGCGGCTATATAATGATCATTTTATCGTGTGTTGTTAACAAACATGGTATAGGAATATGAAATGTCGAAAATCGAAAGCAGGAGAACTGTGCATTTTGGATTTTCGTTATTTATTGATAAGATGTCGCTAGCAACGACAATAATACTCATACACCGGAGGTAAACGTTTTTGTCACAACATGTGGCAATTGACGATGTGTAACATCATCGAAAACCATATACTAACTACCAAGATAATTTACTAGTACGGGTTTAAGTAGCGGATATAATGAGGAGGCGCTACCTGATGTCATCGATTAAAACAAATTTTCTGTTTGAATAAGGACCGCTCGTGGCAATTTTTGGCGGAGTGTGTAAAAGGGGGCGTAATTAGCTATGATTTCTCTCTGAGTCCGTTAATACGAGTGCGCGCATATAGCGGTTACTTCAGTTTCAAAACGAAGCTTATCGGTGGTCGGTAGAAACTACAGTTATACTGCCTGTCCCGGTGAACATCCAGTCCACATTATATAGTGACCTAAAAGCTGTCCCTCGGCTTAAGCCTGGTTACCGCTGTCGACGTGTGAGTCTTTAAGTTCGAGAAGTCTATTAAGGTAAATCCAGCTTTAAATATCTCATGGCTCCGGCCGGCAGGCCCGAAAGACTGCTGCTGAAATCAATGTTCGTTTACATAAGATTTATAAGCCTGCATCAAAAAGGCACGATTAATTTCATTCGAGGGTTCATGCCGTGATGCGAAAGAGAGGGGTCCGCCGAATCTTTACTTAAAAATAACTACTCCCACTACAAAATGAGAACGATGAGTTTATTTAGTGGTCCGCCTTCACCTGAGCGCTCCGCCGTCGAGGAGAGATTCGCATGATACGCGTGATATATGCGCTCCTAGGCACTCCATACGGCCGCAATGAATATGTATTCGAAGCTGGTACCAGTGGCCGATGCCGGTCCTCTCCGAGTGTACCAGGTTTTGCAGAGGTTGATTACCGGGTTCGCCATCCATCCGTTGCGGTTAGATTCTCCGAAAGCAGAGGTTGTCGGCCAGGTGAGTATAGAAGCGTCGCACTGCGCTGTCTGCTTGACTGTGGCAGGCCCCAGCGCGTGATGATGTCTGAAATGAGTGTGCATGGTGATGATCAAACACAGAACACGCAGATTCACATCGCTATTGCCTAGAGTAGAAAAATTCGAATAGAAAATGATATAATTGGTGAATTGAAAGTAGTCGCGCTATCATGACAGCTCCGGCGTTATGAGAATGTTCACGCCCGTTGACTCTCCTGCGTGCAGTAAGCGATACGTATAGCAAGCTTAGTCTACAGAAGAGAGGATTGTGGCCATGTTGACTGTGTTGGCGCAATGTAAAAGCGCGAGAAGATATAGACCACCCCCAGATGTGAATATAAAATGTTGACGACTAAGCTAAGAGGAACTTGAAGATGGGGAAGTATGAGAGAGAAACGAAAGGATGGAAGTGGACGAAGAGGGCAGAAAAGATTGTGGAGAGGAAGAGAGAGGAAGAGAGGAGGGCCAGAGGAGAGGAGGAGGAGAGGAGGAGGAGGAGGAGGGAAATGAGAAGATAGGAGAAAGAGAGAGGAGGAGTCAAACTAGAGACAGAGACAGACAGAGAGGCGACAGAGAGGGTGACAAGAGATGGAGAGATAAACAGAAAGAGGGAAATGAAGAAAGAGAGTAAGATGGAATAAGGTGAGAGATAAGAGACATATGAAAAGAGGGGTATAAGGAGTGAGAGAAAAATGAAAGAAAGGATGAGAAGGAAAGGGAAAGGTTCAGACAAGCGAGCCCATATGTATGATGTACACCACCACGGCACGAGGTTTGACGAAAAAATTCATAATTCAGGCAGCACAACATATTGTCCAACCGGCATAGACATTTAGAATCTCACAACACAAAATACACCCCAACTCATTATTCAACGGAGCCCACGACCAACAGCAACGAACATCCCCATCAAGGCACATCGAAACTGAAGTCACGCTTACCTTCCAGCCAACGCGATGCTCAGTGCTGGCACGGCTCCCACCACGTCGCAACTGCCGTCTGCATGGTGTCATCGGCAGACGCTTCCGCCGGTCCCAGACCGTAACTCCAGCACTCGTGCAGGCTCGGGGCCGGCTACCGCCAAGGGGCAGGCGATGCAAGAGAAGTTATTCAAAATATGTTACCGTGCTCCCACGTCTGCGATCAGGACGGCACAAGACGGCCACCTGAAAACATATGCTACGTATGAAAACCACGTCGTTAAGAAAGTCGTGGTACTCACCCCACTGCGTCAGGTAGGCACAGACTTAGAGTTATAGTAGAGAATATATCAAATAACACTGCATGGACCGGTCCAAAGGAAACCCAAGAGTGGCCTTCATAAACACGTCCCCCGGCGTCGTTCCTAGTCTGGTAGTGGGGTGGTACATTATATTCCTGAAGGGAAGATCGCTTATGGACAAGTGTCCGTCTCTATACAGTGTCGCTAACTCACTGAGTTGATGAATAATGTGATGGTCTCATCCGTGTTGTTCCAAGCTAGGCTATATCGCCACAGACTCGGAATGCAACCATGTACGTACCCAGCAAAGGTGACTGAAAGCAGAAATATGAGACTTCATGTTGTCTATCGCTGCATGATCTGTCAGTGCTCCCGCGCGCGTAAGTTGTGCTGGTAAGAAAATCCCGGCTGCACACGGTTATATTATGAAGGCCGAGCAGCAGAGCAGCGACAGGCAGCACAGGCGACAGCAGCATCAGCGTGCGGCTGCGTGCGGTTGCGGCGCATAGATTACATAAGACACGTCACGTACCCCGCTTGCATCCGCTTGGCCGCTGAGTCCTCCGCTGTTCAGTCATTCGCGAAATGCTATTACAACAGGAAGTGAGATCGCTCAATACCCAGAGACGGAGGGGGAAGGTGCAAACCGTCGTGACTCACTATCTCCTGCGCAGTGCCATTTTGTTTCATTATTTATAAGCATTTATGTGAAAATTAGTCCCAATAGGATTGTTGCTTATAATGTTGTTATGCGCCATAAATCATGTGAGAGAGCGAGTTGTTAAAAGTTTTTGGTGGCGCGACGTGCGCGCGCCGCAGGGCACCTCCTGCTCGGGGACCGTGCGAATATTAATAGCCCATCTAGGCAGGTGTGTCCCCTCACACAACCGGGAGACCGCATACTTAACCACTGTCGCGAATTAATACGATCCCACGTCGCCCGTGCGCACCTGGCGGACGACGTTTGTTGGCCGACTGCGTCATGTAATCGTAAAATACTTTTAACCATCTGATTAGAAATGTTGATATGAACGTTGAAAAGTTATTTTTTTTTTTTTGTTTTTCCCAACTCAGTTGACTGGCTTAGATTTTCCGTCTAATAATGTAAACCCAACTGTTATCAGAGCAGCGCAGTCATTATCAGTAAGTAAGCTGTTAATTTTGTAGTGTGGCAGACGATCTTTTTATGAATAGCGGGGACGGGTTATATGGAACCACAAGTGGTGTGGCCATAGGGTTAAGTAATTTGCTTGCAGCAGAAAATGGGGCTGCCGTTGGGCGTTGTAATCAGCGTTTAGTCTGTTTGGTAAAAGCGTGTTTCGCGATAATATGTTATTCTGGGGCTGGAAGCACGAATTCCTGTGTTAACGCAAAATTGCGATGAGTTTACCCCATTCTGAAATCATAAATTATAAGATATATACGTGTGCAACAACCACCGTTAGCATGTTTGTGCGCCCGTGACAGCGACATGGGTTTTGAAAAAAATAACCACATGATATTTTGCCTATCAATAATTCTTAGATTGCACGGGGGCACCTAGATTACCCCCCGCACAAACTGGCGTGCACGCACCACAACGCCATGAAAGTACCGCCACGCACGCTGTTGTGTCATACACCGCACCACACTCTCCCGATCCATTCCGCCTGCGCCTCGCGTCCGCCGCCGCACAACACCCGCTCTCGCACCACCGGCCCGCTTCCCCGCCCCCCGTCGCCCTCACGCCTCCGGCTTTTTACCGTGCCCTCGCCGGAGCAGTTAAAGCCGCGAGATAGGTCGCACCACGCGAATGCCGTGTGGCCCCACGTCCGCCTCCGCTTAACCTGCGCCGCCCCCAAGCCTTCCGCCCCCGCGCTCGCGCCCCCCTCTCCCCGCGCCCCGCGGCCGCTGGGCGCGCCCGGCCCGGCACTTCTCCCGTTCCACTGGCCCCTCCCCTTCACAAAATAATCCGCGAAAAGAGCGCGTTAGGCAATCGCAAACACAACCGGCCAATGAATTGGATTTCTTTCCACGGACGCGTATTACTGCCGTATTAAGATATCGCTCGTGGTTATACGGACGGGTATTCATGTATTCGTGAGCGATAAGGTTAGCGATGCTCTGAATCCGTGTTTCAGCTATGCGTCGGCATGTACGGGTATCTTGCAGGTATGATCTGGTCCGCCCTAGCTGTGTTCACCCTGGCGCTGATCTACGAAGGCTTGAAGATTTGGCAAGAGAATTTACTCATGCAAGCGCAGAAGGCGTGTGTGCGCTATACAGCATATGCACGAACCTCGAAAGATCGGACCGTATACTCAGAAACGCGGAGTCACGGATCCTGCTGCTCGGGGTAAAACCATATTGTATATATATATATAATATATACCCGGCCTTATACCCGGCCTCACTGTGAATACGACTAGGTTAAACGGGGTCTGACGAGCAGACTGAAACACACACACACGCACGCACGCGCACAGAGAGCGAGAGTTGGAGATATTTTACGAGAACAAGAAAAATCCGGGTAAACAAAATTATTCCATCTTGGTCGCAGTGACCATGCAGGAACTGCCAACATGGACTCTATCAAGGTCAGCTCTATATGTTAAACATCGTTGTTTAACATAGGTTAAAGTGATTACGTCACCGTGAATAGTAAAAGTAAAAAAATTATGTTTACTTTTTCACAAACTGTAAGTGATTCTGTTCACTTTTTTGGTTAAATTGGTGCATTATACTTCCTATTTTGCTATTATATTCGGTTCGATGTGAACAAACACTCGTGACTCATTCATAGCCCATAGCAAGCATTTAATGTCGTGATCAATATATCAAATCGCTCAGATTTTTTGGATTTTTAACTTGTTGAAAAACAATCTTACCCGATTAAGATTAGGTCTCTAAAATTAGGATCAGCTCTACGAATAAGATCTAGCGCAAGTGTAAATAAATTATCATGTAATTGTTTATAAATATAATAATGTTGTTGATCGTGTTGCAGGCGGCTGTTCAGCGTGGTGCACGTGTTGCAGACACTGCTGCATCTGATACAAGTCATCTGTAGTTATTTTCTCATGCTCGTCGTGATGACGTATAATGCGTGGCTGTGCACGGGCGTTGTCCTTGGAGCAACCTTGGGCTTCTTTGTCTTCGGCTGGAAGAGAAAGGTCATCGTCGACTCGAGCGACATCTGTCACTGAATGCACCATATTCTAGATTACACGAGGCTCGTACAGGTCCTAGAAAACCAAGAAAATTCCTGGAGATTTTACTACGCCGCTTTCTAGATCTTTGGGGGGTCTCACAACTTGAGTAGGTCTATGGGTCTATGCTATATGGTTCTGGAATATAGGCAATGATCGTAGCAAATCCTTGCACACTATATTACGGCACTGTATCGAGATGTGCAACTATTTCCCTTGTTCCCGCTGTCTCCGCCAGGGTTTGGAATGATACTATTATTTTACTCAATGAAGCAGGAAAAGGGAATAATTAAAGCAAAGTAACGTGTTTTTGTAGCGTATGCGACATTTCAAGTTTGAAGGAATATGATTATATATGCTACATTAAACTACAAATATAATGTTGTTTTTTTAATTTTATCTACGTGCAATGTTTTACTACAACCTAAACATAATTGGACAATTGTGAATCTATGCGTTGTAGTTTCCTATAGACTTCCGTCAAGGTTATAACTTTATGCATTTATTAGTATACGTTTGTCTGTCTCTCACGTTATTCCCTTCGAAATTTGTTATTTCATACTTGTGATGTCGATAGCCCACTATGTCGATGTTGAATTCACTGCTAAAAACTTTTGTATAACCTACGTATATACCGTTTTGCTGCAATTCAATCCAGCTGCATTTGATCATAAATGTTACTTTAACTCGCGACTCTAGGTTTTGGTCAATATGAACTCTTCGCCTTGGTTCCACATCCTTGCGGCACTACAACAGCAGCTAAGATAGGATAATATAGATGTGTAACCACATGGCGGCACAGTAATTCAACATAGGGGGGCCTAAATCGTTGAATATATCTGTGTTTAATCGTTTTTTAACTAATGTGATAGTTTGCATCTTATTGGTTTTAACATGAAATAATTATAACTGAAATAAACGAAGCCAAGCGCTTTATATTATAAAATTCGAATTTTATTTTATAATCATATTATTGATATGATTTGAAAAATGATTTTATAGTATTGTATGTACTAGTTTCACTACAGTATAGTTCTATATGAATCAGGATATGAATGTATAGTGCTTCAAATTGTGTCCTTGTCTTTCTTTAATCCCATTGCTCTATCATTCCCTCTCGCCTATCTTTAACAGGAAGCTATAAATCTGACCAATAAATACATCCTAACGGATGCGTTCATAGATGTCTCATAATTCAGTAAAGGCCTACAACACGGCATGCATCCTACATATAGATATCTCTGGATGCCCTTAGCCTTATGGAGGCAGAGAGCATAGGTTGCAGCGCACAAACTCCACCTGGTGGCCAGTGGGAACACCATCTCTGCTGAGCGTACAGTTGCACGGACTCGGGTCGTCGGCGGCATCATCGATATTGCGACCGGTGCTGCACGGAGTGATCGGCAGCTGATAGTTCACCGATGAACCCTCGCATTCACAAAACCGTGTGTTCACCTGAGGAACAACATGGTGTTGCACATAATTAGTATATTTATAATTAATATTGTAGTAACAACGGGTATTAATTATACGTATAGACACGAGAGACGCAATCTTCATGTATCACATTTAACAAATGCATGTTACTGAAAGAACATCTTAAAACACACATAGAAACCTGTGCTCCTTGTTTTACTTTTTCCTCTCTCCCAAGCACACGCATACACGCACGTACACACACGCGCGCGCGCACACACACACACACACACACACACACACACACACACACACACGCACGCACGCACGCACGCACGCACGCACGCACACACATATATATATATAAATATATATATATATATATATATATATAATAGTAGCCTACTACATCTCATCGTGCTGACACTAGCTGCATCTAGCTAGTATTTGTATGCTTTGTAAGCTTGTATTAAATTTGTTATGCGAGGCAATTTCTAGGTAGGGCCTACGTATCACATTGAACAAATGCATGGTACAGAAAGAACGTTTTTAAGTACACGTGGCCACCTGCCCCTTAGTTTACTTCTCTCTTGCACCCACACAGACACACACACACGCGCGCGCACACACGCACGCACTCATACACGCACGCACGCACGCACGCACGCATGCATGCACACACACACACATACATATATATAATATTTATATATGTACGTATATATATATATGCTGCTTAGTAACTTGTTTCTCGTATCTTGATTCCGACTCTGTATTTTATCATGCATGAATCCGCGGTGATGTCGGGAATATCTCAAATAAAAAAATTAAAACGCCAACAACCCGGCCATTGGATGATCATGTGCTTTCTTGGCTCGCCGATATATTTTCTCAACACAGTGCACAGAGGTGTTTAGCTCCAAGAAACGGTCTTTGCTAGGGTTAGGAGACGTGTGTATATTGACGTTAGTCACAGAGCCTGGTCGGGTTAAGCGGTGTTAAGCCTACTACCGAGTTGTCACGTACAACACAAGTCATCTCATCGTGGTAGGCTGTACATAGGCTGAGGTTAATACCGTAGTGTATCGGTATACCGTACGGTACATATTTGTTCGCTGTCACCGCCGTGCTGTTACGTTTATAACCGTAGCAACAGACCTCAGATGAGCCCAGACGCTCTGCGGCTCTTGTTAACGTATGCTAAATGTCCACAGATTCAAACTCCAATCTGCACTCGAATCTTTGGGTGATACTTATAGCGTAGCTTGTGAGCTCGTGTAACAGGCACGTGTAATCGTATAGTGTCCAGGTTCGTTTGTACGACAGATACGTGTGCAATTGCACTTAAGCCACAGACAGTATAATGCTATAACCACAGAATTACTACGGTTACTCTATTTTTTAATGAACAACATCATATTGACAATTACATACAATACATAGGTGGCTGCGCAAGCCAACCAGTAAATACGATGCAACACATACAATACATATCTATACAATACACATATCAATACTATACACCAGGCACATACAGACAAGCGGCTGGTTTACAAATGCAGTGCATATCTACGAGCGTGGAGCCATGTAGGTCGCAGGCAGCAGACAGGTCCAAGTCAGTGATGTCCAGCGGTGACGGTAGCGTAGTGATTCCCAGCAGGTCTGTCAGCACCGTGGAACTGTGTCTGCCTTCCTGTCGAAACTGTTCGGTATTTATACAACTGGGGGAATGCGGGGCCTGCGCGTCAAGGCCTTGTTGCGTGCGGATGGTGCAATCCTGTATCCTTCTCCAGAATTTTATGGACAACTGAAGGTGAGAGACTTCCTTCTCTAACGTGAGAACGGCAGCTGGAGCTTCTAGAAGTCCTTGGAAATCGCGGAAGTTCGATTCATGTTGTCATAGTTCACATAGTACACATTTGTCGGCGGCGTTCGTTGTTTGTTCTTTATCAGTCGGCATGCGACATCAAGGTGTGAGGTACTAAAATGTCATAGTGTCGCCTTGCGTAGGTGATTACTTTCTCTCTGTCGTCGCATATTTTCTATTCTTTTGTTGTGTCACGCGCGTCACGCGTACGTGACCCACGCGCCGGGCGTGCGCGGCTTAAGACTTAACGGTCATAAGACTCGTAGCAGTCGTCACCTTGGGATATTCGTGGTGCAACTTTCACTTGTTACCTTGACTGATATTTGTCGACTAAAATAACATATGACGTGATGCTGCTTAAGTTAAACGACCCGTGTCGCTAGGTTTTATACTAGGTTAATCAGCAGCAGCAGCGGCGACAGCGGCGTCAGCAGCAGCAGCGGCGGCGGCGGCGGCGATAATCACATAGAGCACGTCACGACACAGCGTGCATCCGCTTCCGCTGACCTAGCTGTTCAGCCATTCGCGAAATCTTCACACGGAATAATCTGCTCAAATACCCAGAGACGGAAGAGGCGGTGCAAATGTCGTGACTCAACTGTGCAGAATAATTTTGTTATGCTCCATAATCTATTGAGAGGGAAATAATTAAACCCATGCGATATCACGACACCGCGTTTAGTGCGCCTGGAAAACAGGCTATAAAGGTTCCATTGCTTATTATATTTAATTTAGGCATGTCTACATTTATTAGCGCTTATTACGTTATCATGCCCCATAATCTAGTGACGAAACCACTTCCATTCTCGCCTGGCCTAGCTGGTTGCCTTTTTTTGCCCCGGTTGCCTTTTTTGCCCCGCTTGCCTCTCATATAGCGCTCTTGTCTCCCTTGTCTGCTTTGCTCCCCTCCCTCTCCCTCCCGCTCTCAGGTTATCCACGGGCTGGTGGTTGGTTACAGGCAGTTTTGTTCACAGTCGGTCGTCCGTAGATCCCAACAAATCCGCACCACTTACAAGCCGGACCCTGCGAGATGACGATGCAGTATGTAAACAGCAATTCTGCGAAGCGAGACACGATTCACAAATGTTGTGCGTGAGAAATGCGGCACTGTTGTGTATTATTGGTGCGTGTATTGCGCACATACGTGTTTGTGTAATGGTTTTCCAAGGTAAAGTTGTTATTTGTGAAATTGGTTGTGTAGTTATCGGTATAAATCTCGTGACAGCCTGGGGTTCATGGACTGCAATTTGCAGAGTCCAGAGTCTATTTAAAGTGATTACGTCACGGTAAATAGTGAAAGTAAAAAAATTATGTCCACTTTTTCACAAAATGTAAGTGATTCCGTTCACTTCTATGGTTAAATTGCTGCATTATACTTCCTATTTTGCTATTCCGTTTGATGTGAACAAACACTCGTGACCCATACATAGCCCATAGCAAGCATTTAAGCATAGGAGCGATATTGTCGTGATCAATATATCACATCGCCCAGATTTTCTTTGGATTTTAACTAATTGAAAAACAATCTTATCAGGTAAAAATTTGAGGATACATTTAGTGCCGTTAGTACTTACTTTTCATGTAAAAAAATTGCAAAAAACATTTTACAAATATACACTACAGAAAATTCGTGACGTAGTCAATTTAATGCTCATTGTGCTTCGTCCACATGGGTATGCGTAAGCTTTTCTAGGTAATGTTGTTATTTGTAAACACCGTTGTCTACTAGTTCTCGATATCAGTATTTCCGGAGATTTAATGCGATTCTTGGACGACACAAATGACTTGTGAACCGCTGTGGCAAAATCTTATAGGGTGAAGGGTGGGAAAGACTGAGGGGAGGAATCATGAGCGTGGGGAGAGACGCGCGTAGGTTTCGTAGTAGTTAAACACTTAGTTTTCTGATCTAGATGTTACGCGAGGGCTTTCAATGCAGCATTGATGTCTTCTATTATTGTATATAATTTATGATTCAAAATACACTCGGTAGTCGTCATTGTGTGATACATGATTTATGTTGTGTAATGTTTGTTTGCGTTTATGCTTGTTCATTTATGCTTGCATTCTATTCATGTTTATTTTTACACTTTCTATATGTTCCTTGTTGACATCTTCACTGTCTTTTGACGAGTCGACACCGCGTAAAAATAACGTAATACCTCTACGTGCGGGTTTCGACCGTCGGCATGTAACAGGTGCGCATAGAATTTAAAAGCATATACAGGAGTTTTGCGACCGCACTGAGGACCACATGAAAACTCCACGCTGCAATAAGATATGAACAACTTTTCAAGTGCCGTGTATGTTTACGTGTGTGAGTGCGTGCGCGTGAATGGCATTTCACTTGCCATATTATAAACCCTTTTTTCGCAGTACAGACGGGCATGTCCGTGAATTCAGAAAATGACCGAGCCGCTCACATTGTCATCGTCATCGTCATCGTCGTCGTTTTAGCAGTTATTTTTGGTGTTGTTGTTATTATTATTATTATTATTATAATGCGGCGGCTAATATAATAACTTGTTATCGTTGGTGTTGTTAACAAACATGTATAGAAATAATGTCGAAAATCGAAACAGAGAACGTGCATTTTGGATTTTCTTATTTATTGATAAAATGTCGCTACAACACATAATACTATACACCAGGTAAACGTTTTGTCACACATGTGCAATTGACGATGTGAACATCATCGAAAACATATACTAACTACCAAGATAATTTACTAGTAGCGTTTTAAGTACGGATAAAGAGGGGCGCTACCGATCATGATTAAACAAATTTTCTGTTTGTATATACCTCCAATGTTTTGACAGTAATAGTAAAACGTAATAGCTACGTTTCTCTGAGACGTGACGCGGTTAATACGGTGGCGCATAATAGCGTTAGCTTCACACAAGCTTTATCGTGTCGTAGAAACTCATTATACGTGCCTTCCGTGAACATCAGTCACATTTATAGAGTGACCTATAGAAGCTGGTCCCGGCTTTAAGCTGGTTACCCTGTCGACGTGTGAGTCTTTAAGTTCGAAAGTCTATATAGAGTAAATCCAGCTTTAAATACGCATTCGCGCCGAAAGACTGCTGCTAAATCATTTCGTTTACAAAGATTTACGCCTCATAAAAAGGCACGATAATTCATTCGAGGGTTCACTGATGCGAAAGAACGGTCGCGAAATCTTTACTAAAAATATACTCCATACAAAATGAGAGAGAGTTTATTTAAGGGCCGCTCACTGAGGCCGCGAGAGATCGTCATACGTGATATATGCCGCTTCTAGCACTCATCGCCGCAGAATATGTATTCGAACTGGTAGCCAGTGGCGATGCCGTCTTCTCTGAGTGTACAGTTGCAGAGGTTGATACCGTCGCCTCCATCGTTGCGGTTGATGTCGAAGCAGAGGTTGGTCGGCAGGTCGAGTATAGAGTCGTCGCCTGCGCTGCTGCTGGAGCATGTGCAGCCGCGCGTATTGATCTGAAATATGTGCATGGTGATATCAAACAACAGAATCACGCAGATTCACTCGCTATTGGCCTGAGTAAAAATTCGAATAGAAATTATATAAGTGGGTGGAATGAAAGTAGGCTATCATACAGCTCCGGCGTTTGAGAAGTGTTCTTCGTCCGTTGACTCTCTGCGTGGAGTAGCGAATACTATAGCAAGAGCTATCTACAGAGAGAGGATTGTGGGGCATGTTGATGTGTTGGGCAGTGAAAGCGCGAGAGATATAGACGAATGTGATATAAAAGGTCGTGACGACAGCTAAGAGGAAACTGAAGATGGGAAAGAGTGAGAAGAAAGAAAGATGAGTGGAGAGAGAGGGCAGAACGATGGAGGAGGAGAGAGAGGAGGAGGAGGAGAAGGAGGAGAAGGAGGAGGAGAGAGAGATGAGAAAGATAGGGAGAACGAGAGAGGAGGAGTCAGAAACAGAGACAGAGACAAAGACAGAGACAAAGAGAGGGGAAAAGAGATGAGAGATAACAGAAGAAAGGGAAATGAAGAAAAGAGAGAAGAGTGGAAGAGGTGAGAGATAAGAGACATATGAAGAGAGGGGATAAGGAGTAAGAGAGAAAAATGAAGAAAGGATGAGAGGAAAGGAAAAGGTCAGACAAGAGCCATATGTATGATGCACCACACGGCAGAGTTGACGAAAATCATAATTTCACCATTTTTTCAAGCATAACATTAAATACTCAACAACAATCTTCATTATACAACGACGCCACGCACAAACAAGGCAACGAACAATCAAAGGCCATCGGAAACTGAAGTCACGTACCTTCCAGCCAACGGCATCTAGTGCTGGCACGCACTCGCAACTGCCGTCTTGCCATGTGTCATCGCAGACTACCGTACCTCCAGCCCTCGTGCAGGCTCGGGCCGGCCTACCCAAGGGGCAGAAGCGCTCAAAGAAGTTTTCAAAGTTACCGTGTCCACGTCTGCGATCAGGATGGCACACGACCGCCACCTGAAACATGATGCTTACGTATGAAAACACACGTCGTTAAGAAAGTCGTGGGTAGCGTCACCTGGCGTCAGGTAGGCAATCAGACTTAGAGTTATATAGAGAATATATTCAACATAACATGCATGTAAGGGTCACTCAAGGGAAATCCCAAGAGTGGCCTTCATAAACAGGCGTCCGTTCTATCTAGGTAGTTTTACATTATATCCACTGAAGGGAAATCGTCCTTTATGGACAAGTGTCCGTTCTATACAGGTGTCCGCTAACACGAGTTTGATTGAATAATTATGGTATCATCCCGTTTTTGTTCAACCTACTATACGCACACGGAATGCAACATGTACGTACCAGCAAGGTGACTAGAAGCAGAAATATGAGAGTCTTCATGTTGTCTATCGCTCATCCGCGCGCGTAGTTGTGCTGGTAGAGAACCGGCTGGCACAGGTTATATATGAAGGCCGAGCAGCAGCAGCGACAGCAGCAGCAGCGACAGCAGCATCAGCGGCGGCGGCGGCGGCGATAATCACATAGAGCACGTCACGACACCGCTTGCATCCGCTTCCGCTGATCTCGCTGTTCAGTCATTCGCGAAATCTTTATAAGGAATAATCTGCTCAGATACCCAGAGACGGAGGGGGAGGTGCAAACGTCGTGACTCCACTATCCTGGGGCATCATTTTGTTTCATTATTTATAGCATTTATGTGAAAATTGTTCACAATAATTGTTGCTTATAATTTTGTTATGCTCCATAATCTAGTGAGAGAGCGAGTTGATAAAGTTTTTGCCACTCAGCCGGTGCGATATAATAGCCATCAGGAGGTGTGCCCCGTCACACAAGGGGAGAGCGCATTTAACTGGTGCGAATTAATGCCACGTCGCCCCGTGCGCACACGTTTGCCGACTCGCGGTCGATAACGTAAAAACTCTTAAACTTGCATCTTAATCTGCATCTTAATCTTGCATCTGATAGAAATGTTGATAGAACGTTGAAAAGTTTATCAACTCGTTGACTTAATTTTCCTTAATAATGTAAACCCAACTTTATTCTGAGCATTGCGAGTCATTTAACAGTAATTAAGCTGTTAATTAGTAGTGTGCAGACGATTTTTATGAATAGCGGGACGGTTAAGGAACACATGTGTGGGCATAGGGGTGTAAGTAATTTGTTTGAGAGAAAAGTGGGGTGTCCGTTGGGCGTTGTAATCAGGTTTAGTCTGTTTGGTAAGCGTGGTTTCGGAATAATAGTTATTTGGCTGAACACAAATCTGTGTTGAGATGAGTTTACCATCTGAAATCATAAATTATAAGATATATACGTTGGTGCAACAACCCGGTTACATTTTTGGCGCCGTGACAGTCGACCTGGGTTTTGAAAAAATAACACATGATATTTGCTACAATATATTCTTGTAACATTGCACGCGGGCATAGATTTACACCCGCAAACGCGTGCACGCACACACGCATGAAAGTATACGCACGCACGCTTGTGTATACACGCACACACGCGCGCACACGCACGCACACGCAGGTTAAAAGCCGGATAGGTCGCACACAAAAAATAATCCGCGGAAAGAGCGTGGCAATGCAAACATAATGATTGGATTTCTTTCCATTTGCCGGAAAGGCTTGGTATTACACTGGTGTTATGTTATCGGACTGCATGCTTTTAACTCTATTTGTACCTCAGACGTAGCAAAGAGGTACATAGGTCGGTACAGATAGTGATTGCCGGAGAAGCAGGTAATGTTTGAGCTTGCTGTCCAACACTTGCCATGTCGGTCGCATCTGCTAGTTTAGACGTGAACTCATAGGTGTTACAAATGAGCTGGCAGAGCCTCCAGAGAATATATAACAATAAAACTACGGGTATCTCTATATGTTACCAGCAATATTTTGGTACGGCACCTATGAATACGAATGACAGCATATGAGCTCCCACCCACGCTGCCACCTCCCCCTCTTCCCTCCGATACCCTCCTTCCCTTTCTGTCCTTCTACCTCCTATCATTCATCTCTCTCCTCTCTCAATCTCTCTTTCTCTTCATCCTTCTCTCACTCTCTCCCTCTCTCTCCCTCTCTCTCCCTCTCTCTCTCTTACCAGCAATGTTTTGGTACGCCACCTATGAAGACGAATGACAGTTAGCATATAAGCTCCCACCCACACTGCCACCTTCCCCCCTCCCTCCGACGCCCTCCTTCCCTCTCTCTCCCTCTACTTCCCCTCATTCATCTCCCCCTCCCTCAATCTCTCTTTCTCTTCATCTCTCTCTCCTCCCCTCTCTCTCGCTCTCTCCCTTTCTCTCTCTCTCTCCCTCTCTCTCTCTCTCTCTCTCGCTCTCTCTCTCTCTCGCTCTCTCTCTCTCTCTCTCTCTCTCTCTCTCTCTCGTCCTCTCTCTCTCTCTTATAATGCCCAGTCACACATACACGACGCACGGCCGCGCGCACTGAAAAATCAGCAATTTTGGCCAGTGCGTTGTCGTTCGCTGGGTGTGCGTCAGCATTCGTTACTCGTTCGCCGAGCGCGCTGGACCAACGCTATCGTATTCGTTGTCATTCGCTCGTGCGCGGCGTGTGCGTCGGGATTTTTGAGCATGCTCAAATTGTGCGCGGAGCTCGACGCATGAAGGTACACGCCAGAAGGACGCCAGACACGCGCAGAGCGCGCTGGACCAACGCAGACCCACGCGGAGCACACGATGGGTATTCGTTGTATGTTCGTCGGCTGAGGTGTAGCGAACACCTAGCGCACACCGCTAGCGCAACACCTAGCGTGCTTCTAACGCATGTCCGCAACATGCAGCGATTATGGGCGTGCTGAACGAGTGCTGAACCGAGTCTGTAGCGCGCCCAGCGTTCTTCTAGCGTGTTCCTAGCGTGTACGCAGCGTGTAGCCATGGGTATATAAACGGGTCTCGCGCCCCCCTCCTCATCATCACTTCTCCTCGACCCTCATGGTGATGACAAGAGATCCTGCTGATCGTGTCTAGAAGAACCACCTCAAAGATAGAGGATCTCGACAGGCCTGCGACTACAATACGAAATCGCGGTTCTACAAACATCAGCAGAACCTCATGGAAGCTGGCACTTCACAAGTCATGTTATCAGGAGAACGAGAAAAGAAGATGTCACACGGAGGTTCTGGGTCCGACCGCGGATCGGTAGGCGACGACAGTTTGGCCTGTATGACAGGCTACTTGTGAACTCCGTAACGAAGACCAGGCAGCCTTCAAGAACTTATGCGGATGCCCCGAGATGTTCGACAAGCGGCCTAACCAGATTGGGTCGAGGATCACCAAGCAGATACAAAACCTACAGAGAGGCCCTCGCACCCTGGCCTGAGCTTGCCCTCACTCTGCGGCATCTTGCCTCTGGGACCAAATATCACTCAATGTCCTATGGTGGACGGTGCCTCACAAACACCATATCCCTGCTCATCCCAGAAGTGACCTGTGGCGTTGGCTGTCGGTGTGATGTGCGCTGGCTGTGCGTTGAATGGCGGTGCATGCGCGCGACCGATTCGTTCGTGCGCTAGCAACACGCTGTGCATTCGTTGGATTTTAACATGTGCGCCCTGTATAACGCTCTGTATGCGCCCTGTATGCGCGCAGCGCGCTAGCAAACACGCGCTGCATTCGTTGTCAACGTCGCTAGCTCTTCTAAATCCTGACACAAAGTTGGGCGCCCAACGACGCAGCTGATCTATTTTCCATTTTTTGATTAATTTTCAGTGCGCGGGCCGTGCGTCGTGTATGTGTGACTGGGGCATACCTGTGTTTTGGTACGGCACCCAAGAAGACGAATGACAGCATAGAAGCTCCCACCCACACAGCCGGCAGCATCAACAGACAATACAGCCTCCGCTGATGTCTGCCGAAGTCACTTAGGTAACGCATCGCAGCATCCACGTTCACCAGGACGACGGTCGGATGATGCTCGCACACAGTACGTTACTATGGCAACGGCGGTGACGCGTTGCTATGCGACGATGCGTGACGTCACGCGCTACGGGAACGCGTGCGGTGAATGAAACAAGCGAACGTCTCCGAGTCTTGTTGAAAGAGGAAGCAAGAAAAAGCGAGTGAGAAGGAGACAGAGTGAGTGTGGATGTTAGACACCGAGAGGGATATAGAGGCAGGGAGGGAAAAAGGAAGTAAGAAATGTCTACAGCAATTAAGAGCGAGAGAGAAGGGAATTGAGAGAGGGGGATGGAGGGAGGGGGAGTAGAGGATAGGGAGGCAAGCGCGTAGCCAGCAAGGGGGGGGGTCCTGGAGGCCTTTGTGACCTTCTGTCTTTCTCACTGTGTGTGTCCCTGGTGTAACTCAGGCTGTGTGTATTGTACAGCATTCATCCATGCACCGCCTCACACTCCGGCTTACCACGGTCCTGTGTATATAGTACTCTCTCACTCTCTCTGCTCTCCTACATATATCTCTATATATCTATCTCTCTCTCTCTCTCTCTCTCTCTTTCTCTCTCTCTCTTCTCTCTCTCCTCTCTCTCTCTCTCTCTATATATATATATATATATATATATATCATAAACAAAGTCAAGATATAGAATAAGGGTGTTTAAAGTTTAATTGACAAGCTTTCGAGATTACATCTCTTCATCAGGTCAGCAGACATTGGAATAGAATCAAATAATCAAAAACAAATACGCTATAGATAATCAAAAATGAATGAGTCACACAATTCGCGCGTTGCCATGAATACGGACGACAAAAGAACACGCATATATATATACACACAAAAGAAACACACACACACGCACACACATCACACACACACGACACACACACACGCACCACCACAGCACACACGCACACACACACCACACACACACACACACACACACACACACAACCACACACAATAACACACACCCACATACCACACACACACACAACCACACCACACACACATCACACACACACACACACACACAGCACACACACAACAGCACACACACACACACCACACACACAACACCACACACACAACACACACACACACACACACACACACACACACACACACAACACACACACACACACACAAAAACACACACCCACACACACACACACACACACACACACACACACACACACACACACACGCACACACACACACACCACAGCACACACACCACACAACGAAGCAATGGACTCAGAAATCATACGTAATTAAAATTTACGTTCATGCCGCCTGGATTCAAACACCAACCCTCAGAATTTATTTCTGCTCAGTCATGTGTCGACGTGAGCTCTTGTAATATGGTGTCAGTTGGCAGCCACAAACACGACGTCATCAATGTGGTGATCCGGTTGGTTAAATGGTCAGCAACCGGAAAACCATCCATATTAAGGCGAATAGATGCTTAGGTGTTAACAAACCTACTCCGCAAGGCGGCGTTTTGTTTCGCCAATATAGT